TCAAATTATCTACTATAGTCCTACCGAAGGTCAATCGCCAACCCGAATAGCTCAGTGGTGACGTCTCTGACTGAAGCATTGGGTGACACGAGTTCGAATCTCAGAAAGGACATGAGTTCCTTCAAGGTTGAAGGTAAGCCGCCTTGCTGATTGGTGAGTGCTAACTAGCAAGAAACCTAAGTCAAGCAGGGCTCCCTGCGGCCGATCGCCTCCAACTATCTAATATTATCAGTCTCTTTTCGACGGCAAATTCACTCCTCACTTGAGGGTTGAACAATGGCAATTATATATAATTATTCTACTCCTATGTGCGTGCGTATGTGCGTACATTAGGTTTCTCAGACAAGAATATAACAGCACTAATTAGGGTTATTATCTACGTCATCAAAATATATCAAAAAATGTGAGGAATAATCCATTTGTAACTAGGAGGAGGGGTGGAGGTTAGTAAGTCTTGACTAGGCAAGGTTACGTCACATGGAAGACATCCAGTAAAAAAGGATGTTAATGAAAGAGTATGGAGACAAGTGTCTAAAATAAAGTGTGTAGTAGGCAGGAAGAGTAAATAAAGACGTTGGATAAGAAAAAGGTACTACTAAAATATCATACAAAAAATGCATCAAATAGTATTAGTAACAAAGTAGTACAACTTGGAATTATACCCAAGGTGGTGAGAGACGATGGAGAAGTTTCTTCTGTTTACATGAATCAAGCTTTTCCATCCAGACTGCTAAGGTTTCAGCAATGCAAAGTATACGGAAGCTTACTGTCTTCGGAATGCTTCTTCCGACTTTGTAGATGACTTTGAATGAATTCCCCTCACATAGTGAGTGACCAGTGTTGAGTAAATGTTTAATTATACCATTCCGTATCGATCCACTGTTACCTTTTTGTAGGCAAGCGACATACTGTCCTTTGACTCTTTTAGATAAAACACGCATCGAACGACCCATGTATCTCGCTCCACATGAGCAAGTGGTCGAATATTACAGTTTGCCCTTAGAGCTGTTGAAGAACAATAGGCGGCATGAGAACACCAATCGTTATGTAGTAGCAGTGAATGTTGTTTTGAGGGCTTTCGATATTCTGCTCTCTAAGAGGTCGGTCAGAAGGTCGCCTTTGAACACCACATCCATGTACAGCATCCTCTTCAGTATGGAGATGGAGAATTCTTTGTTGGTTATGGGCTTTATGTGTTTATCTATATCTATCTACATTTACAGATAAACGGTAAGCTTCCGTATACTTCGCATTAACGAGACCTTAGCCATCCGGATGGAAAAGCTTGATTTATGTAGACAGAAGAAACTTCTTCATCGTCTCTCACCACCTTGGGTATAATTCCAAGTTCTACTACTTAGTTACTAATACTGTTTTATCCATTTTTTGTATGACATTATAGTAAGGTCGTTTTCTTAACCAACACCTTTTATTTACTCTTTCTGCCTACTACACACTTGATCTTGGACACTTGTCTCCATACTCTTTGATTAACATCCTACTTTTCTGGATATCTTCCATATTTACCAATCTTCAACCTTCCCCCTAGTTACAAATGGATGATTCACCACATTTTTTGAAATATTTTGATGAACTAAACAATAAACCTAATTAATTTTTATTTTTGTTTGACAATCCTTATGTACACACACACACACACACAAATAATTGTATACAAATGTAACTGTATAGAAAGGTGGATGAATTTATCGTTGAAAAGAGACTCTTCACTGAACTTGTTTGATCGTAAATACGACGATGCATGTAGATGGATTCGTGAATTAAGGTATTCCAGTAACTTAAGCAGGACGAAGTCAGTGGCAATTTATGGGTAGTGAAGCCATAGATAACCCCCCCCCCTCTTGTCTAGGAATTCACTGAAGATTGTTTGAAGTCATATAGGTAGATTTAAGTTGACTGGTAGAGATAATTCCTTTATGACCACTAAATAGAAAGTCTTAACAACCAGGCCAAAAATCCATCAAACTGTAGGACAAGTATTCACTTGGATCCACCAAATTATCTTGTCTTCTGTTATACTTAAACTTTTTCATATTTTAGTATGAACCTTCAAAATGTGATCACTTGAAATGATAAACTCCTATAAACAGTTCTACTTTGATCCAACTACCTGACTACTTATGTATCTGTCACAATGGCTGTGTAACTAACTTTAAACTTACAGTCAATTTATAATCATTCCCACTAATAGGAAAAAAAAGGCAGTTGGCCCAAGTGCAACTACAATTACAACTTCTTCCTGAAGTGTTTTCATGGATGGATGGATGGTGTCCAGCAGTGGAATCCAGGATGTTCCATTCGTCCTGTTTGAGACTTTTTGGCGAAATGTACCTCTATTCTTCAGTGAGTGATAGTGTTCCCCTTTGAGACTAGAAACAATTACCCATCGTTTCAAATGTCAAAACGTTATCGCTTAAATCACATGAACCCGTCTGTATGAGATAAACGGCCAGCTTCCATATACTTTGCATTGCTGAAGCCTTAGCAATCTGGATGGAAAAGCCTTATTTATGTACACACAGAAGAAACTTCTTCATCGCTTCATTCTACCTTGGGGATAATTCTAAGTTCTATTGCTTTGTTACTAATACTATTTGATGCATTTTTTGTATAACATTTTAGTAGCACCTTTTTCTTAACCAACGCTTTTATATTTACTCTTCCTGCCTACTACACACTTTATTTTAGACACTTGTCTCCACACTCTTTTATTAACATCCTGTTTTTCGGGATGTCTTCTATGTGATGTAATCCTCCTTAGTCAAGACTTACTAACCTCCACCCCTCCTCCTCTAGTTATAAATGGATTATTTCCCACATTTTTTGATATGTTTTGATGACGTAAACAATAAGCCTAAACTAATTTTTATTTTTGTTTGACAAACCTAATACATACACACACACACTAAAAAATTACATATAATTGCGATTGTACAGCTGAAGGAACGAGTTCTCCAGAAAGCAACGCTTCACTGAAGCGTGCAATTATTTTAATGCTTACAGTTAACTAATTGTTTAATATAATTAATAAAATTAGTCGATAGTTCAAAAGTTTAATGATCGACTGTCATCCTAGCTAGATGAATGGATTCGATTGTCGACTGATGAACTATGTTAAAAACCTCGTGGCCACTGTCTGTCTGTTTTCAACATAGAACTTTGCACCGATACGTGCAGCAGTTCAAGTCGCCACACTCCCTCCACATGTAGCATACAAAGCAAGAGAAGAAATGCATAACAGAGACAGTAGACAGGGATATAAGACAAAAGGAACAGTAATATCGAAGAACAGTATAGTTCCACTGGAGAATATAAGTCACAAGGAGTGGATACATTTGCGCTGTCATTGAGAACGATGAGTTTGAGCCATATCATCAATTGTCTCCAGCCTTCATTGGTTCTTAACGTCTCGAGGACCCTAACCAGGTGCAACTGATGCAACTTCCCGAATAAGTGAGATGATCAACACGCTCTATGACTTCACTCCCTCTCTCTTCAAGCTATGAGTCAATGTAGTCCAGTATTGTAACATTATCTTACATTTGACAGGAGAGAGAGTCACATGCCCAATATTCGAATACTGTTGCTCAAGGGTGTTCTGTCAGCGTTTTCACCTCCAAGGATTATACAATCTGCATATTCTAAGTAAACGAGATAACAAGTCAATTCCTGAGTCTCTGAAGTCAGTTAGGGTTAAGTCCATTAGTTCATCTATGATCAAACTGAATATAAATAGGGATAGTGGACATCCCTGACGGACACCACTAATTGTCCCCAGTTCAGGTGACAACTCACCGTAGGCTCTCACTTGACTGACTGAATGAGTTTGGGCAGAGTGAGTTCCTTGATCAGTGAAATGTATTTCCTCTGTGTTCTCTTTACAGACAAGCATTGCCAGAGTACCGCTTGGTCAACAGAAACGAATGCCGCCTTTAGGTCAAGAAATATACGGATTGTTGGACACCGATAAGTATGTCTATCTTCCAGAATCTATCGAAGTCTGAACAAAGGGAAGGAAGAAGACTGGGCATGAGAATAGCAGTCATCTATCTCATCCACCAGTCGGTTAAAAAACAACAATCGGTAGTGAAACTTTAAAAGCTTGAAGTTCTTAGTTGTTTCACTCCGGCTGATTGACTAACTGACTGGATCTCAGAGTAGAACTGTGCACAGAAGTCCAGCAATGTTCAACTTGCCACACTTAATGTAGCACACAAAGGTTTACAAAAAGGGATAAAAAGTAATTATAATAACAAGCAGAAATGTGAGGAAGAAGGACAGCAACATGGGAAAACATGACGGTTTAGTGGATATTGGCAACAATCTCCAGCCATCGATTCTTAGAATACTGAGCCCCCCTTCCCAACCAGGCAGTCTATACCTCATTTACAAGGCTCAGACTAGCTATACCAAAGAATTCATGAAGTGATCCCGAATTTTGGTTTGATCAATCTTATCTCATGCTGACTAGCCACTTCTCATGGAGGGAGACAGTGGTTTGGCATGCACAACACACGTCCTAGCCATCTGAATCAATTCGCCTTTATCACAACCTCATCAATTAACTTTTCCACCTTACCTAACACCCTACTACTTCAATATTACTCACCATATTATACCAATTAACACGGGAGATGGAAAGTACACATCTATGATTAAAAGATAGTTGGCCTTTTCCCATATTTTACTTTCAATGGACATATCTCAGAGTCAAAAAGGAAGAAACAGCAAACTACTGTATAATACATACGGGTTTTGATCGATAAACTAACCGGATATTACGTCTACGCCAGAAACTGACTTCAGGAAGTCAAACAGCCACCCACGCATTAGCCATTTGCATTCAGGATAAGGATTACGTCAGTTAATTAGCCAACCCACTCTCACTCAACCAATTCGGATGCGCAAGGAAAGAAAACAAAAACAGAAAAGCTAAGAAAAAAAAGAAAGGTTTACCAAAAGGCATCAGGATAACTTACTCAAACTTATTTTCAAAATCAATGATTTGTTGATTTAGATTATCACACATTTCAGCTCTTAAACGTGCCTCTTGTTCAATTAATTCACCTTTTGATTCAAAGAATTTTTCGGATAAATCTTTCACCAATGCAATAAGTTCCTATATTGAGGGGGAGAGAGAGAGAGAAAAGCGAAGGAAATGTAGAAATAACACGGGAACTTGAAAAGAAGTTAGTAAACGCACACACACACACACGAATACTATTCCTACTTTTCCAATGAAGACCTTCAACGGTTATGCAACAACACAATGAACAAGAGTGAAATGTTAATTATATAAAAGACAATAATAACAGAAATGCAGAACCGATGTTACTTCATGCTGGATTCTACACTGAAGATGTTGTCTAGTGGGGCATTGTAAACTTCACAAATAGACCATCCAGTTCAGCGAACACAGTTACATCAAAATCATCCCCACTTGGGCTACGAATCTTCTCCATTATATCGGATATAGCAACTGTTGGACATCTCTAAGCATGCCTTTGTTCCAGAATCTGTTGAAGGGTGAAGACGGGATCAATCCATCCTCTTCCTGGTCTAGAGCCTGCTTGGTTCTCTCATGTTTGTTCCTCCTGATCATCACTTAGTCTATACATGATTACTGAGCCCAGAACTTTAGATGCCATATTAGTCAAGCTAATCCCTCTGTGATTATCACAGGAAGACTTATCTCCCTTCTTGTATATCGGGATAATCAATGACTTACACCAACCCGACGGGACTACCTCTGATTCCCAGACATTGCCCAGTACCTAAGTTAACCCAGACAGTAAATTGTCTCCACCGTCCTTAGTCACCTCCGGAGTCATTCCATCAGGTCCCACTGCTTTGTCTCGTTTAAGATTACAGATTAGGCTGTTTTAAAGACGTTTTACCGACCTTTTTACATAGCTGGAGAATCTCTTGTGGTGTCTGCTATACGCTATGAGCGAAAATACCTCACAATAGCTTTCATCCTCACCCCCAATCGCGTCAGCATTAAGTTAGAAGACGACAAGAGAGACACAAAGGATTAACACATTGGATAGTAGTCATAGGCTATAGAAGTAATATAAACAGGATTAACACTTTACTCAATCCAATCTGGACATTCCCCTTGATTGACTGGACCGAAGTGCTCGGGATCGGCCTCATGTTGATATATCGGCTCCTTGTGCAGATTACTTCAACGACGTCAGATTATTAAACTTGAAGTAAATTGGTGGATGACGACTAGCAATGGAATTCAGAATGCGCATTTCTTCCTTCTTGATACCCATTAGCTGGATGCATCTGAGGCCAATACCCATTGCATAAGATGTGGTGGCTCTCGTGGCCCAAGTGCTCTAGTGGATAACGCTTTGGCATTTCAAACCATGAGTATTGGGAGTTCAAGCCTCAGTGGGGGTAACCCCATCACTCACTCACTCACTGGAAAATGCATGTACATCCACTAGCAGACGAGTCCAAGTTAGAGGACGAAACGCGCATCCTGGATGCCATTGCTAGTCACCATTCACGATTTTACTTCGAGAATAGAAACTTCGCTGTTCATAATTAAAAGAAGGTAAGGGTAAGGATGAAATTCACGTTACGACAGTGACAACTTTGAACTGTGTTACTCAGCTCATACCAACCACTGACTTCCATTTACTTCACAGACTCCAAAGGTGAAGGAAGAGTCATACTTCCTTTCTGAGCTAAGTTAAAACCGTGCACACTCCAAATGATGACGTCGATGTCACACGGGTGAAACAGGCATCTGATATTTAGATTACTCCGATCTGGCAAGCAAGCACCACTGTACAGTGTGTGTGTGTGTGTGCGTGCGTGTGGTATCTGGCTACTTATATCGATAAACCAGTAGTATATACCAATTTCTTGATGAACTAAACTCTTTTTAAAAAAGCTAAAACAATTACCTTTTTGCTAAATTGTTCCAACATTAATTCTGTACCATCACTGTTGGACGGTGTGACTGCTTCTGTAGAAGATACTTGGTGAAATTCAACTGTTGAATTCATCTCATCGCTTATTCCTGCTCCTCTTTCTTTCTCTTCTTCTCCTCGTGAAAAAGCTGTCTTTTCAATATCATCTTCGGACCAACGTGTTGACTGAGCTTCCAAAATAGTATCCGACTCCTTAGATCTAAAGAGATGAACAGGTAGAAGAAGAAGAAGTAGAAGACGAAAGATTTCCAGTAAAACTTTTCTACTGCATTTGAAACAGATGCTGTGTAGAACATTCCAATAATCATGTTACTCTCATTTCTGTAACCTAGTGAACACGTATATAAAATACCCGAGGAAATGAGTGGCACACCTCATGTCTGAATGCTTATGATACTAAACTGACGACTATTGGTGTCCGTCAGGGATGCCCACTATCCCCATTTCTATTCAATTTCATCATAGATATGATTTCACCGACTCATGCATTGGCTTGTTACCGGGGTATAATCTCGTTGACTTAAAATATGCAGATGATATAGTCCTTCTAGGCGAGGATGCTGAAAAAATACAGGGTCTTCTGAACGCTTCCGGCTGCAATCTACGAATGTTTGACATGCGATTCGCTCCCACCAAGTGGAAGATGATGTTATAGGACTGGACTACACCGACTCCTAGATTAGAAATAGGAAGTGAAGTGGTAGAGCACGTTGACCGCTTCACTTATCTGGGAAGTTGCATCAGCTAACGCCAACGGGTTGATCTCTGACGAAATCTGAGCACGAATACAGACAGCTAGTTTCGCATATGTCAGTTTACGCCGTCTTTAGCCCATTGATTGAAAGTTGAGTGCTTAAGCCAATGCACCACATCTCCAGTAAACCCACTGAATCTATAGGCATTGCTCTACTTAGCAATCCACCACATTGTTTACATATAAAAGTTTACAATAGTTAAGCGAGAAAAATACACACACAGAGAAAACATACTTGATTGCAGTCGTCTGATTATTCAATAGTATTTTGTGTTTAACTTCTTGATGAAGGTTTGGCTTCACTTCACTTTTATTATTTGTATGCAAAACAACAGTTTCTGCTATAGGATTTGCTTCAACGATCACTTGTCTAGCTATAGCAGCAAAGCGTAGAGCATGCAAAGTTTCATCGTATAATTCTGGATTCGGTGATGCATTCACTATCATGCATGCTCTACCCTGACCAGTGAAAAAGCCTTGAAACAGACGTGTAAGTTTTGAATCTCGATAGGGCACTAGTTTTGGATTATCTGGATGCAGTTGATTATATCGTAGGCATTCAATACACCTGTAAATATAGTTCAACAATTAATTAATTTCGAATAAACAATATAAAAAGTAGTCATGAGTATTGTAATTTTCAATACGATAACCATACAACGTCTTACTGTGACAAAAATTAGGTTTATGTGAAAAGCGTATTGGGGCGGGGTTATAACTGTGGAGGTCAATGCCGACTAACTGACACCTCTGATAATTTTTTTCCTTCAAGTTCCCAGTGGAACATAGGACTAGTGGCTTGGAGTTTCTGTAGCAGCGTTTATTTATAACAGGATGAGGTTGCTAGCCTCATGGCCAACCTTTCCTCTTTACCAGCAATATTTCTGGCTTAGCGAGGTAAAGGAATGCGTCGGCCGGGGATCGAACCCCGGACCATGTGAATGGTCGGCGAGCGTCCTAACCGCTGTGCCACCGACGCCCAAGCTCAATTACCTGGGACATATTTATTTATGGTTTCAAGGTTGATGATGTCTATATCCCATTCAGGGAAGTGTTGGATGTTCGGCAGGTTGAGCGTGGCTGTGGGCCACTTTTACTGCTGCTCATAGTGCTCTTTCAAGCGTTCCAGTCGTCTATCCTGGGAGCTAATTATGGTGCCTGGGGATTATAAAAATACTAAAGGTGATTACATAAAATACTAAAGTTCTGATAACCGCATGACTGGATATTGTACCAAACAACTAGAATCCCGAAAACAAACAATAGAAAATACTACGGTACAATTGGTATGATTTCTTCTAAAAATCTTGTATGACTCCCTAATTCATTACTATAATACATCCACAGAGATATCGTGAAGTTTGCAAGAAAATAGAAGTGACAAAACAAACATAGCGACACTCATTACTGAACATTCATGGCAAATACAGATACTTCGACTTCGGATAGGTCATAGTAATCTCATGAGCAAAAAGGAAAGGACACAAAAAGTTTACAATATCCAACAAACCTTCCTAATGTTAACAGACTTGAATTGATATTTCCAGCCTCACGCATACGCATTGTTTGACCACCTGTAGCCGCTTTTACAGATCGTTCACTCCCCGCCAAATCACAAAACATCAGTGTGCTAACTCGTGCAAAATTTGGATTGTTTTTATCTACTACTTTTACAGCCTTTATTGATAAAATACTATGCGATCTTGAGCTGGCTTGATTTAAACGAGTTGAAGCGACTTTTTGACACTGACGACCAACTGCTACAAGTCGTAAAGCCTCTTCAGGTGAACCGATAGGGTACCATTTCATACCTAACCAACAGTAAAATCAGAAAAGGATTCATTGTTTAAGACAAGATAATGTTAATAAAATCTAGTTTACTTGCTCTTGTGGAGCTGAGTACATCGACCGTACCATGCGCCGACTTGAAAAACGCGCTCGTGAACACTGCCCAGCCTGGTTACTAAACGGAGACCAAAAGTGTGTATACAGTTCAGTGACAGAACATCTGGTCAATTCAGCACGTTCAGCGCCTTTCGAAAAATCCTTCAAAGTAATATACAAGATTCAATCAAACATTTCAAAGGGAGTGAAATCAAGACATCTGGGCATAGCCGAAGCGCTAGCTATACAAAAGCTGAAACCCACCCTTTGTATACAAAAGAAATACGTCCAACTCCTGTCCCTGCCATGGCCATCATAAACAGGTAATTTTCTAGTAATGACCATCCCATCGCCTTTCTTACCTAAACTTCCTGTTTATTCTTGTTATTTTAAGTTTTTCTTAATCCCTGTTTACATTACCATATTTTCATACCCGAACTTCGTGTTTATTTTGTCATTTTACTATTTCTACATATTTAATCCCTGATTGCATAAACAATTATTCATCACATTAGTTTCTTTATCCAAACATCCTGTTTATTTATTTTGTTATTTATACATTTCTAACCCCTAATTGCACAATGTCAATGTTCTTAGCTATCATGATGCTACTTTGTTTGTTTTATCCATCCCCCTGTTTATTATGGCATTCTAATTCCTAATTTTAATTTTTATTAATTTGCCCCTTGACCGGATATTATTCTGGAACTTTCCCATCCATTTGATATAAATACACGAATGTACAGTCTAGTTGACAATGACTTCGTCGAAAAAAAATTTTCTTCGCTGCAATTGTCTTCTTAATAACTCCTATGACCTAATGTGTACATTCCGTAAAATCTGGGGAAATAACTTCGTACACAGTTTTTAGTCAACTTTTCAACCTAAAAAATGTTTAAGAACTTCTTTTCACAACAACAAAAATAATCAAATAGCTGAAAGTTTTCGTTCATTTTTTAAATTTTTTTTATTTTTGATTACAGCTTGATTCCACACTGTATTTTTGGTACAAGTATGGAATTTTCAGCATGTGACATCGGTAGCCCGAATTTTGCCGGCCAAGCAAAGATATCAGGTGTGCATAGGCAAGAGGTCTAACCTCGGGCCATGTGCATGGTCGGCGAGAGTCTGTCTGTCTGTTTTCGACATAGAACTTTGCACATATGTGCGGAAGTTCAAGTCGCCACACTCCGTTTAGCACACAAAGCAAGAGAAGAAAGTACAAGAAAAGCATAATAGAAACAGTAAGCAGAGGTGTGAGACAAAGGAGGAGTAATAACGAAGAACAAAACAGTTTCATTGGAAATCATAAGTCACAAGGAGTGGACGCATCTGAGCCAGCCAGCCATTGAGAACGATTTTGAGCCATGTCACCAATTGTTTCCAACCATTGGCTTTTTACCGTCATCCCGAGGACCACAACCAGTCAGGAAGTCTACACCTTCCTATGTGGCTTAGACCAACTGTTGTAGATTTCATTGACTGGTGAAGCCATGTTTTGGTTTGACTGACGCTAGCTTTTTTCCAGCCTGATCCTATATCCGCTAACATTGCTCGTCGAGGAAGGCGATGACTAGGCATACGTAACACATGTCCTAACCATCTCAGTCTTTGTAATTTCACAACATCGTCGATTGATTTCCCCTGTTTACCTAGAACTCGAGTCACGCCTAACCTCAATATTGTTCACCTTATTATACCACCACCTCACACGGGAGATAGAACGCTGGCACCTATGATCAAAGACAGCTAGCCAGTCTTTTCATGTCTTCCACTCTCAGTGGCCAGGTCTCACAGCTAGCCATAAAGGAGGACGGAGCGGACTGATAAGCAGTACACCCGCCCTTTGATCGATAGTTGGCGAGAGTCCTAACTACTGTGCCACTTGTATATTTATTTGTATAAATACGTGTCACTACGAAAAACTCATTTTCTCATAACATTCCCAGAAAGTAACACAAAGGAAACAAGTCAGAATTGTGATACTAATAGAAATTTAAAACAATTATTTCCCCTTATGAATTTAGATAAGGCAATAAGAAGACGTAATTTGTCTGAATTGTGTGTGCGTAATGTATTAGCGTAACACATTTCGAACAATCTGATCATGACAAAAGCCAATTTAGCCATTATCCCTCCTCAGAATATATTCAGTTGTTGCAGCAGGGCACAGTGTAACAGCTAATCTACTGAAGCTTCATAGTCTAAACGCTATAAGTAAAAATAAATTTGACCCTTTAAAACCATTAGATTGTAAATTCCCGCATATGTATAGTTTGCCAAAAATACATAAACCCAATAATCCTCCACGTCCTATATTGTCAATGTACAAATTACCAACGCATAAACTTGCTAAATGGTTAGTAGAATTATTACATCCAATCAAAACACAACTCTGTAAATATGTGTCAAAAGATACATTTGAATTGGTTAGTTTTCTTGACGATATTAACATTATGAATAAGAATATGTACTCTTTTGATGTAAACTCGTTATTCACTAATGTGCCTTTGATCAAAATAGTTGACATTTTTTGTGATTACATTTCCACAAACAATTTTTTTCATCCCGTTGCCTATATCTTACTTAAGGGACTTATTACTTCTATATACTAACAATGTTAGGCGATTGTTTCCGCCAAGTTGATGGTGTTGCTAAGAAAAGTCCGTTAGGGTCCCTTTTAGCAGAGAATTTATCAGATGATTTAGTCGAAAATGTGTCACTTTATAGAAGGTATGTAGATGATAGTGTAAAAATCAGTGATATGTCTTGTTGTGTCACCTCAATTTTAAATCGAATGAATGTATTTCAGAATACCATATCACTTACATCTGCAGAAGAGGAAGATAATTGTTTATCTTTCCCAGACATATTGCTTAGTCGACGGCTTGATGGGTCAATAAGACCTATTCATTGAAAACCTACCTGGACAGGACAGTATCTTAATTACCACAGTTTCTGCCCTGTTCGCAACAAAAGAGCCTTAGTGAGTGAGGTAACTCTTTAGTAGAATCCAACGAATATGCACTGAAAACACACTCGATGACGAAGAAAGAAAGTTGACACAAATCCTGGTTGATAACAATTACTAAGATAAGTTCATCAGGAGATATAAAGTAGTAGTCAGAAGACCAAGACCCACTCTCCAACTCGCCCCTAAGAAAGACGTGTGCATCAAGCTACCCTATATGGGGCATCGTAGCAGCTTGATAACTAGACAAAGATTGAACACTGCTGTGTTTAAAAAGACTTCATACAGCTAATATCATAATAACTAAGAATATGGACTCAATATATCCATCTAAGTCCTTTGAACATGAGAAAAATGATGTCACATCCCACTGTATTTACCAATTTGAATGTATGTGTGGACACACATACATAGAAGGGAGGACTCATCGATCTCTGCAAGTAAGGGCTGGCTTCAGAGCATATTCCTAAATGGCTCCAGAAACAAATGGAATCTTCAGAACTCATTTAATGGTGAGAACAGGAGACCTAGCTCCTCTATTACGAAACATATATCGTAGAGACAGGATATAAAATTGACGTTTACACATCTTTCAAACCTATCTATTAGGCGTCTCTGGGAGATGACGTATCCTTAAGTTTGTGCGAGCCCTAGCTGGCAGTTAGGAAGTTTAAACCACCTCTATGCGTTCAAAGCAACAATTCGTCATCACACTAAACCACCTTCCTTGGTAAACTTTGTTTTGATGATACCATAACAGATGTACTGTTACCTCTGCTATTTGGTTTAGTGATCTTCATTGTTATTTTGACCTTGAATATGTCTTTTTAACTTGACCCAAGTCTATTTTCTTATCCCTTAACTCTTTATTAATTTCAGTCCGTGTGTGAGTGATCAGATTGTTCGAAATGTAGGTTGCGCGAATACATACATTACACGATTGAGACAAATAACGTCTTATTGTCTTATCTAAATACTAATAAAAATTAAAGTTCCTTAAAATATGAGTTATTTTAAATTGCCATTACTGGAAACACCACTGAAGACTGACAGAAATAAAAGAGACACATTCAACTGAGGGTAACCTACTGGAAACCTAATTCAACGAAGTTCACTCTCTCTTTTACTATTCCACCTAATCTCCAACTCGTGATTTTTAAGACCTAAAAAAGTGTAGCTCATTCATCAACATTCCTTTCTATGTTTTAAAATGAGTCAGTAAATTTACATAGGTTAATACAGCTTCCTTCAATTTCCCTCAACTTTAGCACTGCAACATTTAACATTACGAGAGGCTGTGTTAGGTAAAGAGGGGAAATCAAGAGACGAGGCTGTGAGGTTACACCGACTGAGATGGTTAGGACACGTGTTACGGATGCCTAGTTTCCGCCTTCCTCGACGGGTAATACAAGCTGACATAGGGTCAAGCTGGAAAAGAGCCAGTGATGGTCAAACTAAAATATGGCTTTATCAGTCAATGAAATCCACAACAGGTAGTCTGCAGCTGATGAGAACCTCTATCGAAATTTATCAAGGGAACCAAATGTATGAAATCCATAACAGTTAGTTAAAGCCAGGGACGGTAATCACCAATGAGTGCTGGAGACAACTGGCGCTATGACTCAAAATCATTCTCAATGACAGCTAACACCCAATCAAACTATACTGTTCGTCGGCGTTATTCTTTTTGCTTTACATCTGTTTACTGTCTCTGTTTTGCATTTCCTTTTACTTTCTTCTTTTGCCTTATGTGCTACATGGAGGGAGTGCGGCGACTTGAACTGCTGTACATATCAGTGCAAAGTTCTATGTTGAAACCAAACAGACAGGAGAGGCTAGTAGGTATGACTGGCATGAACAGGTCATCTTACTTTATACACCTAGAAGTCTCATAAAATGACCCTGATTCCCCGATTTCTAACCCACCACATCGATTATTCTAAAATCCTACACAACATTAAGACTTCGTAATAAAAACAAGTAGAAAGAGTCTCCTACCACATGTCTACAAACTGTCTGTCTGGATTCAACATAGAACTTCGCACCGAAATGCACCAGTTCCAGTTGCCACATTCCAAATAGCACACAAAGGTAGACAAGAAGATGAGTGAAGAGAATCAATACAGTCTGACAAGTATAAGAGTGAAACAGAATGGGTAATGGTAGAAAGGAATATGAAAGATTACAGAGACTGAATACATCTGCGCTGGCCATTGACGATTTTGAGCCATGTCACCTATTGTTTCCAGCCATTGATTCCTGGAGTCCTGAGGGCCCCAACCTGGAAGTCTGCACCTCCCTACCTGACTCAGTTTAACTGTCAAGGATTTCATGGATTGATGCCATGTCTACAAATGTCTACAAACACAGGAACCTAAGCTTATTTACTTTTATATTCACCTTAGAATTACACTTGTGTTAAACTTCACCAACATAACTAGTCAGACAGATAAAACACGGATAGTAAGATCACTGTAAGAAAGGTAGGTCATACATAATCGTTACACAGTGGGCGAAAAAGGTAGAGACAGCACAAGACTATGGTATAGTATCAAGTTTGCCTGCCTCAAACCAAAGGTACGGAGATGGAATAATATTTCCTTACCGATATCCTTTTATAATGAAGAATTTAGACAATTGAAAAACCCCAAGAGTATCACTTTGCATGAAGACAAGGAGTAACTGTAAGTTGGGAGAAATGGCAAGAAATCATCAGGTGGACATACATTGTGCTGTCCACACCAGTAGTAATTGGTGAGTAGTTGACGAGTTAAGACTCGAGTTATATATCAGACATCAACCAATATGTAGGAAAATTACGGAATAGATATCAAGACTTTAAAAAAACTATACCTTTTACGAAAATATTTCCGTTTTTATCCGTTCTTAATTCCAGTGGTTTTCTTCGTGGTTGGCTTGTAAAATTTGTTGTATGTGATGCGTTATTGTTCACATTGAATATATTCCGGAAATTTTGTTGGTTCTGAGCTGTCCTCTGGCCTGTAGTACCATTAGATTGACTAGAAAACATATTAGAGCACTGGACAGAGTCTAGAAGATCGTAAAACGTTTCATTGTAAATCTCCACAAAACTAATCCAGAAACTGTAACGGATATCACTTGAACACCTCATGTCTAAATTGATGTATGAACAAGTAAAAGAATCAACAGAGGGCAATATTTTACCTGTGAAAGTTTCATCTAAACAGCTTGGTTCATTTTCACTACCAGTAAGTGGAGTCGACTAGAAGCCAATAAAGACGATGAAACACTTACCTCAAAAATGCCTTCGGAGTATTTCAGCAGATTAGACTTCTCCGTTAAAATCTCCTGTACCTTTTCTTCGCTCAAACTAATTACATCTGAAAAGTCTTTCGGCATAAGAAATGGATCGCTTTTGTGCTTCACAAGAGTAAATATTGCTTGTAAGGATCGTGGTACAATACCAGCATCACTCCGAGATCCTAAGAATTGCTAGAATACTGCCTTAAATTACCTTGTAGAGTATGTGTTTTGCCAGAGCTAGTAGTTCCATAGGCGAAAATGAGACCATTCAAACCATCGATGAATGAGCGGATTTTATCTGCTGCTACCTTTTCGAAAACTTTTTTCTGAGTCGTAGATTCATGAAATATGCCGTTGAAAGTGAACTTATTGGCACTTTTTTGAAAGTTACGGACTTGGTTCTTCCGAAAATCTGCTTCCGGAGGATATGCAACAACTGTATAAGAATCAGGGCAAGATAATATAGTCTAAAAAGATGTCAGTGATAATAATTCCTTGATACTTTTTCAGATGAGTCTTTGGCGCATGCGTAAGGTCTTATTCTCAAAAAAACTTTCATGGGTTGACTGTGAGGTGAAATCGAAGGACCACGAGAACATGATTCGAAGTCCGCCAGTAGATTGCAATTTATGGTGGAAAGCCGAAATCCGTTTACCGTGCCAAGAGACGGTACTCTCGGGCATATGAAAGATAGTGCAGACTTCCCGTCATCTAAATCCCTGAAGAACAAATTAAAAGTATAAAAAAACCACATACATCCCAAACATTTTGCAACCACCGCCAACCTATTCTAGCCTGTAACTTTGACCGAATTCAACAATGCTTGGCTACGCTTTCGACGCAGATATGTTAATTATAATAATAATTATTGAGTAAACTTATGGATGTTTCTTCTTTCTAAGCATAAAGTTTCAAAATTAATCAAGAGGTTCTTATAATGTAACGGATAGCTACCACGGAATGACCTTGAACAAATAATCAAAGTTCCAATATCCAATATCGTTTAAACGAGCTAGTATAAACCAATTTGACATCTTTGTGCTCGCCTCTTGATTGTTAAGTAAGCGTTTCTGATCTTTGGTAAACTTCTGCGCAGGTCGTCCCGTCACTCGACTGTCATAGTTTTGGTTGACTCCAAGAGGAGTAGTGCTGGGATTAATTATATGTGGTTTGTAGTATGAGATGTGTTAAGACTGTTACTACTGTGAATGGAGTTGATACTTTCACCAGTTAGTCCTCCGGTATCGTCTTCAAAAGAAAAGAGATAATAATAGATATAATTAGTGAAGTTATTCAGACTAACAGACGGAAAAGAAATAAAGAAAACGTAACAACAGTCAGCTGATTAAATTTGAAGAATAATATGAATAATATATCGTTAATAGTGATAACAATAATAAGTGTAGTTAAAGTTGTCAGGAAAGTAAGATGGGAGAGAATGTACAGAAATAAAACGACGAACTTACTTGTCAATCCGTGAATGGTGTATGGAATTTTAAGGGGATAGGCCATTTGGACGCAGCCCTTGTGTCGCTGCATGATTGTCCAGCCTTCGCTTAAAAACGTCCACAGCCGTTGACGTAGCTACATCTGCTGGTAAGGATTTCCAGGGACGGCAAACACGCAGTGAAAAGAAGTTGGAGCGCACCTGAGTCCTTGCCTTCTGGTGGACTATCCTTCTGGGATTTCCACAAAGAAGCCTATGCCTACTCAGTGGCAGAACACCTTTGTTTGGGTGATTCTGGTCATTTTTTATTTTGCAGGCGGTAATTAAATCCCCCCTGAGCCAACGGTGGCTAAGTGTGAATAGGCCTAAATTCTTCAGCTTTTCATCATATGATTTTTTAGAGGCTGACGGTATAGACGTTCGCGAATTGTACGGAGTATATTAACGCAAGATCTTATGCTAACAACTCATATATTATTCTTTTCTTGTGTAGCAAGGGCGAAGCAAAAGACTACAGTTGATTGTCCAAACTATGAGATATATTTCGGAACCAAACCGCTGACTGAAGCGGAAGCTAAGCTGGCTAGTTATCGTTCACGAAACTGACACGACGGAATACCAAATGGCGGGAATGCTTGACCGGGAGCCTTCAGCCAAGCAAGTAGGCTTAAAGTCTAAGGGAAGCATCCGATTTTTACTGATGATTCCTATGGTCACCATGTAATTCTTCTCTTTGACATAATCTGTTCTTATGGTCAATAATTTTGGGGAATTATTTACCGCTACAGTGTGTTTTGGAGACCAACAACTCCTTTTGTTGCCCGTCGCTGGAATTTCTCAAATGCTAACGACCATGTCACTGTTTATTATGTGCATAAATTTCATATTTAAAATTGTAACAAGTTTTGATTTCCTTTTATTCCTGAATCATGCTTGCATGTGCTTATCTTTAGATGACAAGGATGCATTCCATACAATCTGATTTTACTTTGTATCCTTATTAGTGTTAATGATGTATTTTGTTATCATTATTGTTAATGTCAATGCAGTTGAAGATTGAACGATCAATTCATGGTTGTTTGCTCAAACCCAACTCCTCCATATTTTTCGCGGGATTCATCAATCCAGCAGTCGTCGTCTCATCGGTCGCTGTTCAGCAGAAGACAGAAAACTATCAGAAGTATTATCGTGATTTATTGCTATAACATTTATTCTTAGACCTTGTGTGTAATAACCCTTATTGTTGGTTACATATTGACTCAAGAATAAAGGATTCTCGAGTCGCCAATCTGTGTTCTGGTTTTTCGCCTTGGTTATTACAAATTGTTTCTGAAAGTCTTCCAGGGACAGCGTGAAGTCCGGCGTAGTAAGAGCTGGACACTGACAGTTTATGAGAGTTGGCTAACACCATTTTTAAACAAGGACTGGCAGCCTGGATGCAATTTCCCGGTCTTGTCCTCACCAGTAATTGATACACGGATGTGAACATATCTCTGGTGATTCTAGTAAAGGCTCTGCGAATTGCCCATAAGGACTTGAAACTACGTGCAGCCACATCACGACAGTGTACTGTAATTTTGAAGTCGTGGCTAAATACGACACCGAAGTCTGAGTCTGAACTGATCGAAGTGTTATTCTCTCTAGTTCGTAGGAGCTCCCGCTTGCTTGTCCAATGTTCATGGTAGCACATTTTGCCACATTGATCGGGATTATCCATTTTATGGGCGACTCTGACAATTTGTTGAGGTCCTCTTTCAACGTGAACGTACCACTGTTGCCCTTCAGCTCTCCCCAAATTTTTAAGTCATCTGCGTATAGGACCATAGGGAGGTCGGTGAGCAGAGATAACTCATTGATATACAGAATAAATAGGAGAGGTCCAAGTAGTGTGCCTTGTGGCACTCCGCTACGTACTGCTGCCCAAGAGGACAGTTTCGAGTTGATCCTAACCCTCTGCCTCCTATCTATGAGGAATTCCCTGAACCAGTTTAGTTATCTTCCTTTGATACCAAGACTTTCCGATTTCATGAGTAGTCTTTTGTGAGGTACTTTACCATAGGCTTTGCTGAAGTCTATGAAGACGACGTCAACGGGTCTTCTGTTGTCCTTTGATTTGACCCAGCTTTCTCTTGCAGTGAGGAGATTTGACAGGCAAGAGAGGTTTCCTCCGGAAGCCATGCTGTGCTCTAAATAACAAGCTGCTGTTTTCCAGATATGCCATGATGCTTTTCTTGATGATTCTTTGCAGTGTCTTGTTTAAAGTACTGGTGAGACTGATAGGCCTGTAATTTGAAGGGCTTTGTCTTGATCCTCCTTTGTGGATGGGGGTTACTATGACGTCTTTCCAGTCACGCGGCAACACTCCATTTAGAAGAGATAGCTTGAAGATCGTGGTTAAAGGGCCGGCTATGTTAGTCGATGGCACCTTGAGAAGCCTTGGATGAAGATTAACAGGACCCATTGATTTCCCTGCATCTAGTTTCATTAAGCAGTTGGGCACGATGCATTGGTCGATGTCAACGGAATCTATCCCGTATTCCTCTGATGCAGCCAGAGCTGATTCTAAAGGGAGTGATGACTCCTGAATGAAGACCTAGGAGAAGTAGTCAGCCATTGATTCTGCTTTTCCTTGATCTTCTTCGATTGTATCATTTTCAATAGTCAGGCTCGGGACACCATTGGATGTTTTATTCCTGAAGTTCATGTATTAGAAAATTTTCTTAGGTTTTGCCTTTGCATTCTGAGTCAGATACGCTTCGAACTTCATCCCTGATTGGAGAATTTCTGCTATAGCTTTATTTCTATCAGCGTTATATAATTTTCTGGTCTCAGAAGTCTCAAGTGTGGCAAACAGGTTCCAACATCTGTGTTTACGTCTGAGTAACTTACGAATCTCTCGGTTTATCCAAGGGGGGCGATGTTTCCGACACTTTGGGACGGACCAAGGGATGAAAGGTTCAGTCACTTTGGCTTAAAGTTGTTTAAATTGGTTCCATGTGGCTTCTGCTTTGGACTCTGGGTTGGTGTACCAGTTTAGTTAGTTCGCTACTGAGACGATCGCATTTATATCGGCTTTGGTCGATCTGGGGTTTCGGCCCTTGCTGCCATTACTGTAAACTTGAAAGTGAGCACAGCATGGTCACTTCTTCCTTAAAGAGGGAAGATGTTGTATGAGATCCACATCCTCCTCGCGTGAGAACACTAATTCCAGAGTTGAGGAAGAGTGTTGTGAGTCATAACGCGTGGGCTAGTGAAATACTGAATTCCAGCAGTTTATCATCAAAGGAGTTGACTGAAGATGGAGTTGGTAGGCTCGTTTAGTCAACTGTTGAGGCGTTAAAGTCACCGACTAAGAAACTTCGACATTTTGAGGTCCAGGAGCCTGGCTTCACTATTAGGAAGTCATCTGCACTGCAGTCAGGGCTACGGTACATAGCAATGAGATCAATGTCTTGGCCTATGCATTTAAGTCTGCAGCGTAGAATTTCGCACGACTCACTCTCGTGGGCGAGTGCTTTGACACCACGAACTGATAAGCATTTCTTGAGGTAGATGACCACGCCACCTCCTTTGCGGTTTAGTCAGTCCACCCTATGCACTTCGAAGTTTGGCAGGTTACGAGCTAGTATCAACCACTTTGATTTCTTGAAGGTCGCTTCTTGATTGTGAGGTATAGGCTCCGGGTCTTCAGTAAGCTTCTGCGCAGTCCGTCCTGTCACTCCACTGTCATAGCTTTGATTGACTTCAAAAGGAGTGGTGCTGGGATTAATTAAATGTTGTTTGCAGTATGCTTTGTTAAGGTTTTGTTGCTACTTTGAATGGAGTAGATCCTTTCACCAGTTAGTCTTCTGGTGTTGTCGTCAGGAGAAAAGCGATAATAATAAGAGATTTAATTAGTGTAGGTTATTCAGACTAGAAGACAGAAAAATATATTAAGAAAACGTGAAAGCAGGCAGCTAGTTGAATTTAAAGTTGATACATACATATATAAATATTTGTGTAGATAATATCAATAATAATAACTACAGTAAGCGTAGGTGAAGTAGCTGGAGTAGTCAGGAGAGTAGGGCAGAAGAGAATTTAAAGAAGCGAAACGAAGAATTCGGATGTCTACCCAGATTAACTGGCTGAGGATGAATGTATTTAAAACACCTAGATTCATATGAGTATGAAATGATGAAAGTTTTAATCCCCCCAGTTTTTATGAGCTGACGCTTGAAAGTCGAATTCTTATGGTTAGTTGTTTCGCCAAGTCTATCGAGAACATCCATTCTTTGGACCGCTATATTAATTTGTTGAGGCCTCCGTGCAACGTGAACGTGTCACTGTCGCCTTAAGTTCCCTCCATATCCCCATGTCATCCATTATGAACACCACTCGGGACTTGGGGAGCACAGGGAACTAATCGATGTGCAAGATGAATAAAAAGGGTCCTAGTACGGTGTCTTTTAACACTCACTACGTACTGCTGTTCTGTAGAAGAATTTTGAGTTGATCCTGTTATAACTGCTACTGAACTGAATGA